CATTGAAAATGTGTGAAAGTGGTCCCTTTTTTTTAAGTCGTTTTTTGTCGCAACAGAGAAAGATATTCGCAAACCAATCTATTCACATCGGTATGTACTATATTATTAATAACAAATATTGTTTAATAATTATTTGTTAGTGCATGAAAAAGTGAAATTAATACTTTGTTTTAAATTTTCGGCTAGTGCGGTTGTTTGGACTAATTTTTAATTAGCATCATTAGAAAGGGTATTAAATTTTCTTTATCTGTCCAAAATTTTGTTTTATTTCATGTGGTAGAACATATTCAAAAGTAGAAAAAAACAGAGCAAGTACACGCTCGCGCTCATATAACAGCCCGTTATTTTAGACAATTATCACTAAATATATAAAAAATAGGTTGATAAAATATATACATAACTAGCTGTAAGTGGTATTCTGTCTTGCGGCAATTATGGCATCGTGCCTTAAGGCAAATTGCAGGAACTTCCCGTACCGTAACGAAATGTTCGTGGAATACTGAATGTTTTCAAATAGATTATTATAAATATTGTAACATTGTCTAATATTTATGAGAATTATATAAACTGAATTGCAGAGTTGAAATTATTTGTAAAGTATATTAGAACTATAGTCAGAATTAAAGATAAAATCTGAAATATTTTCGATATACAAAAAATTATTAAAAAAAAAAAAAAAAAAAAAATGGAACAATTTTTTTTTCCAAAATCAATTATTTTGTTAAGACAAGCAGAAAGTTCTTTGAATCATTTAAATCGGACGCTTAGTTCTCTCAAAAATTGCCATTTTTCACATATTTAGCTCCGTATCTTCAAAATGGCTGGGCCTGCCTTTGCCAAAAACCAATAAACACTTCTCCCAATCATTACTAATTGAATGTTTTTTTAGATCATTCAAATCGGATACTCCGTTCTCTCAAAAATTCGATTTCTATTTTGTGCACTCTTTGCTCCGTATCTCCGAAACGGCTGGACCTGCCTTTGCCAAAAACTAATCAGCTCTTTTCCCTATCAATAGGAATCGAATGTTTTTTGAACCATTCAAATCGGTTGATCCGTACGCCCGAAAACGTGGACGAAAATGTCGGTATATGATTTCTATTCATGCTACAGCAATATATATATATCGTCGCAAAAACCACACATAATATACAAAATGTTCAAAAAACATTCGATTCCTATTAATAAGGAGATGTGCTGATTTCGGCAAAGGCAGGTCCAGCCGTTTCGGAGATACAAAGCAAAGAGTGCAGAAAATAGAAATGGAGTTTTTGAGAGATCGGAGCATCCGATTTAAATGATCTAAAAAACATTCAATGCGTATTGACGGGGAGTAGGGGTGATTAGTTTTCGGCAAAGGCAGGTCCAGCGGTTTCGGTGATACAGAACTAAATGTGCAAAAAATGACAGATTTTGAGGGAACTAAGCGTCCGATTTGAATGATTCAAAAAACTTTCAGCTTGTGTTGACAAAACAATTGCTTTTGGAGAAAAAAAATTCATTCAATTTTTTCTTTTTTTTTTTGTAGATCGAAAATAATTCAGATTTCAATTTTAATTCTGCCTTTTAAAGCTCACTTATATACTTTAAATGAATATTTTTGACTAAGTGATCCAGTCAAGTTAAAATCGCAAAAAAATCGAAAATGAAAATTTTTATATATTTTTACGTTTCAAAGGTTTCTGAATATTTTGGCATACCTTAGAAAAAAAAGATGTATATATGTGGGTGTGTGTATGTGTATATGTGCGTGTGTGTGTCCGGATACAAATTTTCGTCGACGATGGAACACCGATCAACCGATTTGAATATTTCAAAAAACATTCGATTCGCATTGATAAGGAGACGTGCTGATCAGTTTTTGGCTGCGGCAGGTTTAGCCGTTCAGTAGATACAGAGCAAAAAGTGCCAAAAACGGTAACTCAGTTTTTAAGAGAACGGAGCTTCCGATTTTAATGATTCAAAAAAGATTTTACTTGTATTGACAAGATGATTAACTGATTTTTGGGAAGGCAGGTCCAGCGGTTATTCTCAATAAAAATAAGTTAAAAAAATGTCATTTAGCGGTCAAAAATGTTTATTGAACATATGGACATCAAGTTATCAGATATTTTAGAGATTTTATCAATGTGTTTCCATTTTGTGTATTTTTTTTTCGTTCCGTACCAAGATTTTTAATTACGGTACGGGAAGTTCCAGTAATTTGCCTTAAGGCACGATGCCATGCACCCCACTAGTTTTTAATTTTGGTGTGCTGTTTGGAGAACACTACAGTTCTGTACCTGTCGATTTTGCAGTTTTCTTATATTTTAGTGACGATTTAATTTTGTTAGTGTATAATTTAGTTATTACCATAATATAATTAATAATGCCGTAAAATTTCAAATATCGTTTTAATTAATGATGATGCACAATTGTATAGTAGTTCAACAGTTAATATCAGTATTTATAGGTAGAGATATTCTATTCAATATATTTTTATATATTATTTAATTTAAAAAAAAAACTTCAAGATATTATTTAATATATTTATGACTAACTTAGTATACTTGCCATTATATATATTGCTGTAGCATGAATAGAAATTATATACCGACATACTATTATTATGTATATATTTTATCAACCTATTTTTTATTTATTTATTGATAATTGTATAAAATATCAATCATATAGTATACTTGTGCAATATATGAATAATATATATTTAATTGTATATAAATATAATTACTATTAAACAGCTACAAATAAATATATAATTATTCAAAATAAAAATGTATATATCTTGTGTTTTATTAAAAATGTTTTACAAAGAAATGTTCCATATTTATACGCAGAATTTATCAAGACGCGCGGCGAGCAGTCCTGTTGCTAGTCGTTGCAAATCAGAGACGACTTACGAGTATACGGGTTGTTATACGAGCGCGAGCGTGTACTTGCTCTGTTTTTTCTACTTTTGAAAATATTCTACCACATGAAATAAAACAAAATTTTAGACAGTTAAAGAAAATTGAATACCCTTTCTAATGATGCTAATTAAAAATTAGTCCAAACAACCACACTACTCGAACATTCAAAACAAAAAATTATTTTCACTTTTTCATGCACTAACAAATAATCATTAAACAATATTTATTATTAATAATATAGTACATGCCGATGTGAATAGATTGGCGTTATTGGTTTGTCGATATCTTTCACAGTTGCGACAAAAAACGACTGAAAAAAGGGTCCACTTTCACACATTTTCAATGCTATCTCGGCCAAATGATAAGCTACGGATTTGAAATTTGGTATATCGTTTTTTTTCGAAAATACCTATAAAATGGCTTCAAAATCAATTAAATACCAGGGTGGGAAACACGCCCATACCCTTTCTTTGCATCTTCTACTAATCTTTGGACAATACTTTTGAAATACGTTAAAAGTTTAACTTTAAAATAACAATCTGATACACGATAGGGCAGTAAAGACGAATACAATTCGACCGTTATAATATCAATGAGAAGTTTACGATGCAATTTTGGATATTGTAAATAATGAAAAATTAGATTAAAAATCCAACGCGAATTACGAAATCTTGAAAAATGAAAGTAATACTACATAAGTTTAGCAGTCCCGCTCTCTTGCGCTGTAAATAAGGAATACTAAAACATCTCGATATAATTGCGATAGAAAATCAGCAAAACAAAAACTAGATAGTAACTACTGTCTGAAGTTAAACTACTGTCGCTTTTAAACAATATACCGAAAAAATAGTTTAGTGCAGAGCCATGCATAATGCATCAAAATAAGATGTACTGAAGACTATAAATAAAGTTAATTTATTAGTACCATGTGTAGAAATTCTAGAACTGTTGTATGTTTCATGCAAAGAACGTAACGTAACGTAATGCTGAACATATTATAATTCTATAAATGTAAATCTATTCTTACCAATAAATAGATTTAATGGGCTCAATTCTCTGACAGCTCATTATTAATGTAATTCATTTTTCTCGAATTCGCCTGTACTGTAATTGAGAGCTTTAACTACATGCTACATCTAGGGATGCAAAAAGACTTAATACCCACCACCAAGATCATAATCAGTTCAAACATAGTCATTAAAAAAACGACCAATTTAGTGAATGATGCGTTGTGCATATTATAGAAGCATTGCAATATCAATCTGCAAGGCGTTTAAATAATAATATAGTCGTCCATACAGTAATATGTCACATTAAAATAAGAGATCTGACAACAGCGTCGCAGGCTCTAGGACCGTAACCCCAAGCTATGAGATGCTAGCGCAGAGGCAGACCCGGTGGAATTCATACCCCTAAACATGTGTTCGCTATACCCTGAGCGTATCCACTTACAAAATAAATAGGACAACGACGCATCGGTACATAAACCTTTAATATTAATTTTACAATGGAAGGAGATATCAATAGCATAGTTAAAATAGGTAGAATTGATCAAATTTATGATTTTCAACAAAATAGAGTTTTAATAGTTTTTAATAAAATTCATCAAAAAAAGAAATTAATCCGAAGACGATTTTCCGTGTATTAAATTTAATTAAGCAACTTTATAACTAGATGCGAATCAAAATTGAATTTTGATATACTGCGGTTGAATCTGATATTGTAGTTATTCAACAGCAAATGTTTCTAGACAAGAATGAGGTTCTGCATGATTTCATTGTTTGAGAACTAAACTATCGTTGCGAATATAAAACATGGAACTGATTTCAAAAGTACGAGTTACTTTTATAAACATAGCAAGTTTAAGACAATTTATTTTCAATTTATATATAAATTAATCAAAATATTTATACCGGCTTATAATACTTAAAAAAATGATTTAACTGTGATGCGAAAGTGGCGATAATGTACTATAACAAAAGCTATTAATGATTAATTCATACACCAGCTTGCTAGTATATGCGGCAAGAGTGATGAATCAACAATAACCACGGCGATAAAATGCAACATAGGTTTGTAAAAAATACTTACGGGATAATACATCCCCTGTGGCGGCAAGAAAAATGCACCTGAGCCCCACAGTTTGAAGGCTTTCTAATACTATTTAAAGCAATAAAATAAATATAAGCGCTTCTTCACAATTATCTCGGCCAGAAGCAAATGAATGCTCTCCTGGCGTGTGTCGTCGTCGGCTTACAAATTACACGAACACATGTACACTGATTCGGAACGTCACTGATGCTTTACTACGTACAGTATTTGCTTGATAGGTGCACAGAGCTCACTCACATAATTGTAGAAATAATTTTGGCACGTATATTACTATATATTATTAGTCACTTGAGAATACTGTTTGATGGCGCAAGTTTTGTATATGATTGGCTCTGCGCAGAAGGAGCGTTGTCATTGAAACCTATCGTATATTGTATTGTGCCGTTCGTTAAAGGCATTCACCAACCGACGCAGTTGTGGCGTTTCAACTCTCGACTGAACGACTCAACAACGATACCTCTTCGGACAATTCTATACTCATGCCGATTACACACGACATACAGAGTCTGGAGCCGAAGCACATGCGCATCTCATTGTGACATAGAGGGGGACTGTGGTAACTGCGCCGGAGCGACCCTGGTCAAAGTACGGCCGTGCTCACCGCTCGTAGCTGAAAATTGCTAGAAGTCGAATGATAAAATTATGGCTATACTAAAAATTAAACTTGCTTGATTTAAATATTAAAAATCAGTTAAGATCATAACTTATTTCGAATCAAAAACTTTCATACTTGATCTTGAGAAGCAAATTACACTATGTGGATCGCCATGAATAACCCACACGCCCAATCAATTAAACAATATTCAATACAGTGTTCATAAAAATACATTCGAGGAGTGTTAATGTTTTTAAAAATATTTTTTTATATTCCACAATCCAATAAACAGAACTAATAAACAGCACATTAAACCTAAATTGTTAAAGAATATCACACAATTTTTAACTTCCCGAAGGAGAAGTTTATGTTTTCATCAAAAAAACCGATTCTCTAATTTTATGTTTTCTCGACGTTTCAAGCCATTCTGAATCGAATGAGACCAAATTTAGAAAAAGTATGTGTGTGTGTGTGTATGTGAACAGATTTTTTGCCGTAAATCGACGTTTTCTCGAAAACGGCTGGGCCGAATTCAAAAATTTAAAAGCCATTCGATGTATCTCGACGAGGACTATTGTTTGTCAGTGCGACGATCGGCCAAGCCGTTTGTTTATAAATCGCAGAAAAGTGAAAAAAATTTCGTCTACGTTTTAGCCCGCAATTCTGAATTGATTTTGAAAATTCAAAAACCGTTCGAAAGATATTGGTTGGAAATCGTGCTGATTAGTTTTTGGTAGAGATCGGCCGGACCGTTTTCTTGTAATAAAGTTTTTAAAAAAAAAATTCGACGATTTTTATGATTATTTTTTTGACGGTAGATACCATAGTCTTCTAGAATCTAGATCATACTAAAATATTACGGCCCTGCGACAACTGGTTTAGCTTTAAAAATTCGTCAAAGTTTGCAAAAATTGGTATCGTTTTTTTGGCATTTGTCAAAATTAGACTTTTGATCGACGTTTTCTCAAAAACGCCTGAACCGATTTTAGGAATTTAAAAGCCATTTGATGTATTTCGGTGAGGACTATCGTTTGTCAGTTTTGTGCGACGATCTGCCAAGCCGTTTCTTTGCAATTTGAAAAAAAAGTGTTAAACTTTTCGTCCACATTTAAGCTCATCCTACCGAACCGATTTTAAAAAATCAAAAACTGTTCGAAAGATATTAGTTGGGAATGGCACTGATTAATTTTAGGTGAAAATCTACCGAGCCGTTTTCTTGAAATTAACTGTTGAAAAAAAGTGTTCAACTTTTTGTCCACATTTAATCGCTCATCCTACCGAACCGATTTTAAAAAATCAAAAACTGTTCGAAAGATATTAGTTGGGAATGGTACTGATTAATTTTAGGTGAACATCTACCGAGCCGTTTTCTTTTAATGAACTGTTGAAAAAAAAACTTAAGCCGATTTTCATGGAACTTTTTTTGGCTATATACATCACGGTCTTATAGAACTTACTGTAATATTACGGCCTTACGACAAGTAGTTTAATTTTAAAAATTCGTCAAAGTTTGCTAAAATTATTATCGTTTTTTTAAAGTAGGATTGATGAAGTATATTATTTACACTTTTTTTTGATTAAGTCGATTATTTACACATATGGGGAAGTTCATGTAACTTGCCTCAAGGCTAAATATCAAACCAACTAGTTAAAATATTGATGAAAATTATATATTTATATTGTATAAACCTGGAATTGTTAGAAAAAGTAGTACACAGTTTTTATGTTCCAAATTATTTTTGATTTAATAATACTATATTTTAACACTATATCAAGAACGTGATGCATTTCATAATAACTATCTCTATATTAATAAATATATTAATATATTAATATATTATTTATTATATATATATATATATATATATATATATATATATATATATATATATATATGATTTAGTAGTTAATTTTGATGTTGAAATATGTGAGTGAGTTCTTGAGGGCGAACATCAAACAAAGAAAAGCCAAAGATTTATAAAATAATCTTTATTTCCAAACGTTTCGACATTCAATTTAATGTCATCATCAGTGGATCTAAAAACAGTATGAAAATTAGTATATCTAGGTAATTATAATATATGTGGATTGGTAAAGTAACTATACAATAAGAGAAAAATTAACAAACAGCAACACTTAAACAAACCAAATATAAAAGATAGGAAAGGTAGTAGAGATTAGAATTAAATAAATAATTAAAAAATATAGGCAAAAATATCTATGTACACTCATATAAACCTACGCATATATACATATATATACATACACATATACACACATATACATATATATATATATATATATATATATATATATATATATATACGTGCATATATACATATACACACACATGCAAACATATAAAACACATATACATATACAGATACAACAATATATACCTATATATGTACACATATACATGTACGACTATACATATATAAATATATGCAACGTGCATGCATATTCACAACGACGTACATGTACATGTATGAAACATACATATACTCATACCTATCTATGTAACTATAGCTATACACGTATACACATACATATACGCATAAACATGCATATGTACATATATACACACACATATATACACATATATATACATGTACACACATATATATATATATATATATATATATACATACATATATATATACATACATATATATACACACAATACATATATATATACATATGTACATAAATGCTCAAAAATATATATATATATATATATATATATATTTTTGAATATTCTTGAATTTGATGTTGATATATATGTTTAATTTGAGTTTAATATTCGGGCGTAACATCAATAAAAATAGTATGAGTTTTTTTTTTTTTTTTTTTTTTTTTTTTTTTTTTTTTTTTTTTTTTTTTTTTTTTTTTTTTTTTTTAAATTTATTTATTTAAAATCCATACGTTTCGGCTAGCATCTTAGCCATCATTCAGTGGTAATCAAGTTAACTATAAAAATTGGAACTAAATAAATTATATGAAAGGAAATTTCATGGAAAAACAATAATAATAATAATAGTAATAAAACACTTACAATTTTGTATCCTAATATAGCATATGAAACCATTATTAATCCATGGTATGAGTATGTGCACATTGATAAGATATGTATTTTTTAAACACAAACATCACAAATGGTAAAACACACTAATAATCATGATAACTTGACAAGTTGTCGAAACTATGTATTTACTCTTCGGAGTTTAGGATAGAAATGTCACAACTTTCTCAAAGTAGTTTTTAGCATGTGTTGATATTTTTTGGAAAATTTAAAAGGCGATGGGATTTTGTTATTTTTTAAGGAATTTTGACACGCTATTAAGAAACCACGTGTTCGTTTCGATAAGGGCCGTATTGTCATTGCGTTTATTTATGACTCTGTCGTTATGTAATTGTAAAAACAACCCCTCAGCGAATCTTCTTTTAATTGTATTCTCTTCAAAATGTAAAATTTTAGGGTTAAAAAAATCGATATTGTGATTTAAATTTTTAATATGCTCAGTTAACATTGTTTTAAATTGTTTGGGATTTTTTGAATTATTTTTGTGTTGATTAAGGCGTTTACTCAGGTTTTGGCTAGTTTCTCCAATATAAAAGAGTTCGCAATTAGAGCAATTAATTTGATATACTAAATTCCTGAGCCGGTCAAAATTGAACTTAGATTTCATTTGTGTAAAAATTGAACTAAGGGTTGCATCACAATTACACACCAACAGAATGCCACACTGTTGAAATAATTTTTTCCACGAGAAATATAAATCTTTTACGTACGGTAGGCAAATGACACCAGTATATGATTCTAAGTCTAAACGGTTTTTATGGTCTGTGAGGTCTTTTTGTTTGTTAAGAATGTAACTGCGTCTGTTATTTATGACAGAGTTGATTATGTTCGTAGGATATGAGTTGTTTTTCAGTGTGTTTATAACCAGGTCAATGTTCGTGTCCCAGAAGTTTTTGTCAGATAGTAATATGGCGTGGTCTGTTAAATTTATTATTGTCGCTATTTTCATTTTAAGAGGGTGGTATGAGTGGTAATTTATGTATCGTCCGGAGCTAGTTGGTTTCTGGTACCAGTTAGTAATTAGTCGGTGGTCATTTGTACGTATTAGTCTGATGTCTAGAAAACTAATCGAATTCACTGTCTCTAATTCTACGGTAAACTGTAGTTTTTTATTAAAATTGTTAAAATTATCAGTAAATATGTTAATGTCTTCTTCCGGAATACAAGTAATGATATCGTCTACATATCGGTAATAAAAGATTTGTTTGTTATAATTATTAAAAATTTTGTTTTCTACTAATTGTAAGGAAATTTCTACTAAAGACGGAGATGCGGGAGATCCCATTGGGGTGCCAAAAATTTGGTAATAAAATGATCCATTAAATTCAAAATAGGTGTTAGAGACAATGAATTTGATGATTTCTCTAAACCAATGTAAAGATAATGTGGTGTGAAGGCTAATTTCACTCCATCTGCTGGTGATGGCGTCTAGTATTAAGTCTAGTGGGACATTTGTAAATAGGGATATAACGTCTAGGCTAATTAGTTTATAATTATTGGGAATGGAAATATTATTAAGAAGTTTGACAAGCTCGAAGGAATTTTTAATGTAATATGGGGACTGTTTTGTTATTATTGTTAAGATATTACTAATGTACTTGGATAATTTGTATAGTGGAGAATTTATGTCTGAAACAATCGGTCTATAAGGTAGGTTTGTTTTGTGTATTTTAGGAAGGCCGTATAATCTTGGAAAGTATGGGTGTAAATTTTTTAAGTTTGTAGCTGTATCTTTTGTGATTTGTTTATTAGTAACTAATTTGTCTAGAAGTTTATGACAGGAGCGGTTAATGTGTTCGGTTGG